CTATATAGAATTAAAATAAAAAAAAATTTATTAAGTTTGGTTTAATATTTGTTAAGATATTTTAATTTAAAGTCTAGAAAAAATTTACTTAGAAACAAATTGGGTAGTTTCTACTTTTGACCACCTATATAAGTTTAAAAAATAACTATATAACTATAAAGCTTATATATATTCTTGTTAAACCACTTTTCTTTAAAAAAATAGATTTTATATAGTATAGGTAGCCAGGTCATTAGGGCTGAAATGCAGTATAGATAGTCAAGCTCTGACAAGTTAGTAACTCAAATAATTTAGTGATCACCAACAAACTCTAATCAAGTTTGTTTAAACTTCTAATTATAGACTATTTTAACTTTCTGAATACAAACTATTTTAATGTTCTGCTTATAAACTATTTTAATCTTCTAATCGCAAACTATTTTAACTTTAGCTTTAACTTAAAACTTAAATAAAAATTATTAAGTTTAAACTAAAGCTTAAGTGAAAATTACTTGAGTTTAAGCCAAAGCTTAGACAAAAGAGATCTTAGTTTTTAAATTGATATTTATTACTCTAGGTTTTAATATACTGTATATTACACTTAGCAATATAAACTTAATTAATTTTGCATTTTTTGATATCGATCTATTGCTACTATTCTATTAGCCTTTAATTCTCAATAGCATTATCACATTACTCTGTATATAATAATAATTATTTCTATATTATAAATCAGCAATGATAGAAAATGCTAATCAAATATAAAATATTATGAAAATGTAATAGGGTTGAAAAAAATGAATATATGGTATTAGTATATATATTATCAAAATCATCAAAAATAAAAAATACTATGAAATACTTAACATTAGATATTTTTGTTAAATAGAATTGGTTGAATATACTAAAAACAGAAAAATTCAATCTATATAATTATATATAATAATTTTAACATTTCTAATTTTAAGGAAATGACTCTAATATTTGTTCAAGCTAGCCATAATTTAAAAGATGTCTGGATGAAAGAAGTTAGTAATAAAAAAGAAGAAAAAATTATGGTTACAGTTGTAATTTCAAAAATAACTTTGGATATCATTAGTTTTGTTGGTAAGTATTTGCTTATATTTGTATTATACCAGTACAATCACATGAATATATAACATGAATGTGAGAGGGATGTTTTCGTTCAATTTTTTTGATATTGCTTAGGCTGATTTTTTTAAAATCCTTTTTTTTAGTAAACATTATGATTTTTATTTGTACAATTTTGGTATTTAGAATTTCTTACTATGTAACGAAATAATATGAAATCATTATTATATGTAGTATTTTGAGAATAAAGCATATAAAATTATTATATAAAAACTTGAAGTAACGAATGTTTGGTTAATTTTTTTAAAATATTATTTATATTGAATTGACGAGTAATTTGTATAATTTATATAGTAGTTTATAGTAAATATGAGCTTTCTGCAATACCAGTATGATCATATAAATATATAATATAAAATACGAGATTATTGATATTGCTTATGCTGATTTTCACAAAATCTATCTTTAGCAATGCAAAAACTTCTAGTTTTGTGATTAGTTATATAGCAATAGTAGCTAAGATCCTACAGATAAGTCTTACTAATATGCTATATAATGATATAGCCTATTCTTGTTCAGACTGTAATTTCTTTTTAGATATATTTTATATGCAAAGATACAATAACTAATTTAGTATTAAGCTATGACACATTTACTTAGGGAAGTGCTATTTATCAGCTGATTTTTTAGGGGGGGGGGGGGGGTCAGGCAAATAACAGGACCTATATATAATCTAATATATACGATAAAGAGTAAGACATTGT